ACAGCCAAGCCTTCGACCACAGTCTTCTGACCTCAGCTGGGGCCTTTCGCACTACCTTCACATGGCCTAAGCTTTTGTCCTGGGGCTCCCAAATACAGGCGAGCAAACATCTGGAAAAGAGGGACAGTTTGAAAAACTATAGCTTTATATAGGAAAACTACAGATTGTGACTCAGCAAGTTCAGGGGGCAGGGAGCTCAAGAATGCTCCATCTTTGATAGGATCTATGGTACTGAATCATTCGGAGGGGACAGAGACCTTTGTTAATGTAATAGAAGTGTTGGGCTTTCCCCCAAAAGATGCAAGCGCCTAAGTACAGAGGACAACTCCAGGAATCCTGGGCCAGGCAAAACGCGCAGCTGGCTACTTCCCTCTCCTGACCAGCACTTCCTCAGCTCAGCGCTCCTTCTGATGGAATTGTGCTGTGGCACCAGTGACCTCACGGGGAACCCCATAGAAGTGCTGGGTCCTCGCCCTGCCAAACCCCTCCACAACAGTCAAGATCTGCACCTCACCTAGACCTCGCAAGGGCATGTGCAAGCACGTCACAATGTGTGTTGCGATAAGTTTGCTTCCATATAAGCTCCTGTTCTTCCCTATAACCCCCACAAGCTCAAATCTGAACCCTTGACTCCATCTTTAATGTCCCTGGGCCCCTCTGGTGGGAATCTCACAGCCCCATCTCTCTCTGGCTAATGCATTCCTTCCATATGACCCTCCAGCTCCTGCGGGGTGATTCCCACGGATGTTAAGGATTCAGTGAAAACATTTCAAGAGGATGCTTCTGTCCCCACCCACCCCACCTGATCATCACAGTGTTGTTTTTCTAAGAACTCCATCATCACACTATGGCTACCTCAAGTCCAGCACCTTCATGGAGATTTTTCAAATGTGCTTTTGTTTCCCCTGACCTTCCATGCACCACTCAGGGCACTTCGTGAAATGCAGGCCTCAGATAAGGGCAGCGAGGCCTCCCCCACTGTGTGGCCCGGAAATGCCCCACAGTGGCTGACAGCACAGTTAGCTGAGAAGCCCGCTTTGCCTCTGCCCCCTCATCAGCAGCCCTCAGCCTTGGACTCTGGGGCTGGTCGCCAGCTCCAACAGAGAAGACAGTCTAAATAGTGAGCCCCCATTGAGACAAAAACATGCTCTCTCCCAGCCAACCAATGCCACTGCCAGTGAAACTTTCCTTTCTCCTCTCTTGTGCCACTGCCAACCCGCCAGCATCCCTGGGACCAGGGCAGAGCCACAGGAGGAGCCCACACGTTAGAAGCGTAGGGGCTGGGCACTGCTGGGGGTTGTTCCACAGCTCAGGCCTACTTCCTGTGGAGACCTACTTCAGCTTCTCTTCTGGAGAGCAGCACAGAGCAGGTGCTCACACCCTGGATGTGAAGATTAGCAGGCAGCGATGCCATCTGTACAGAAAGGAGAGTCCAGAGATGGGCAAACCAACACAAATATGTCACTGATCTTCCATGCCACCTTGGGTCCGTCACTGCCTTTTGCTCCACCTCAGTTTTCTCATCAAACAAACAAACACACAGACAAAAAATGTGGATCTCCTCTGAGTTCCATTTCTTTCTGACATTCTGTGAAAGAACAGTGAAGGATCTTGGTCCCTGAAAGGAAAACGAGTGAAAAGATTACAGAAAAGAGGGTCCAGAAGTGTGAGCTCTTAGCCACCCGGACTGAGAGCTCATCTGGGGGAAAGGGGAAGGGCAGAGGGCTCCCGGGAGGTGGCTAGAAAGCACCGGGCAGGTGCACAGCCAACTGCCTCTCTCCCAAAAGCCTGAAGGGACGGGGAGGAAACCACATGCTGCACCGGCGGCAGGGGGCACAAAGGAAGTGATGGAGAGATGGGGGCAAGAGAAAGCAGTGCAGGCCAAGCCTTGAGAATGGGCTTCTGATCTTTCTAGAAAGCATGCTTCTACTTCCTTTTTCCTTCACTCCTGACACGGAGTGGGTGTCTGCAGAGATGACCAAGGTACATGCAGAGGATTCTGACTGTGGGGTCAGACCCCGGACAGGAAGGAAATAGGATTATTCAGCAAGAGGAACTTGTTCATTCCTCGTCTATGAATTAGTGGGGAGGCAACCCAGGGGAACTTGGGATTCTGGTGGGGGGCATCCCAACATAGATCTCATCTCCCACAGTGTCGCCTCTCCGGCCTTTCCCTTGGACCTAACTCAACTCAGGCTTACGTTGAGATATTCCCAGCATACTCCCAGGGAGAGCTGCCTGGCTCCAGGCCCAGCATCTGGAATGTGAATCCCAGCCAAGTTCATTCTCCTCCACAAGATCTGGGAACTTCCAAAGCTGCCTAGAGTGGGAATTTCCGTTCTCTTTTCCACCCTGTCCCTGGCCTATCAGCTGGGAGATATGCTACTCCACAAGCAAAAGTGAGAGGGAGGCAGACAACCGCTTTCCATAAAACTTTCTCTCATGATTCACATCCTTTCACCTTCCACATATCTGCTGTCTGAAGCTTGTCTTGGCCAAGGCACTGGTCCAAGATGACAATTCCATGCTTAATGGAGACACAGGAAAGCCTGTGTGAGTACTCAGCTAAGCCAGCAGCCCTTCTTTGTGCCCCTAGGCCAGTTGATCCCAAATTCTGGAATATGGTCCCCTTACACAGAAAGAAGAAGACTCACAACCTGTCTAGGTCTTTGGCATCTAGAATTCTAGGAGTGTTAATGATCAGTGAAAAATCTTGGCATCTTTTAACTTGTTGTCCTAGAGAAGAACCAAGGAATGACTGCATCCCATGGGAAACAGGGATGAATCCTCCAAGTCTATGAGAAAGGACACGTTAATAGGTTAGAGGGGGCTTTCCACTCATATGGAGAAAATCTTGGAAGGTGGTGTGAGATGGGCTGGGAAGAAATGATGGTTAGAAATTGCACAGTCTCCATCCTGGGAATATTATATTCATGTTGGAGGAATGGTGTTAGTCATGGGTAAAGGACTCAGCTAAATGCAGTGAGTTTCAACAGTAGTGAGAGGAGGGCTGAGGAGATAACTCAGCAGCAAAAGCACCTGCCTGACAAGCATAAGGTCCCAAGTTCGATCCCTGATACCGCATGCCATGCTGGCCCCAGATCCCCGGTACTTCATGTTGTGACAGGGTCCAAAACTGGGCATGGTGGTACACACCTATAACCCCAGCACAAGGGAGGCTGAGGAGGAGCAGGTGTCAAGCAGACTGAAAAGAAAAGGCACAGAGAGAGGCGCAAGAGAAGCAGTGTACAAGTGAATTTGTTCTCTCTTGGAATTACACCCATTCTCTGATTTCTGACTCTAGGTCTCTCTGTTTCATCCTGCTGAGTCTCATGATAGCTTTCTATCCTGAGACATTACACTAACCCTGGTATCCCGGAGCAGGGACTCTGGAATCAGAACATCCTAGTGGAAATCTTGGTTCCACCTGTAAGGTCAGGGAGCAGTAATGAAGTTCACTTTCACCTAAGGAAGATTAGATTGTTCGGAGGACTAGGAAGCCCTTCAGCACCATCCTCAGCTCCTGGTGAGCAGTGAATAATGCCACCGTGCCCACGTACTATGGACCCAAAGCAGTCATCTGCTTGATCCCACCATTCCTATAGCACTCATGATGACTAGCAAGAAAGCCTTTGCACCTATATACACGTTATCTCAATGACTCTTTGTAACAGAAAAGCCCTAAATCCATCCCCTCCCTTTGGGGCAAGGGCACAGCAAGGCTCAGCAGGATGAAACAGTGGATTGGAGGAGTCAATATACCTGAGCTGTAGCCACTCATATGCCTGAAGGCTTCCTGCCATATTTGCAAAAGAAAAATGTTCACTGCCATGGACGCCGAGGTCTTTTCAGCTTTACCATGTGATCACATGGCTTCTGAGGAAATTGGAGGTGCAACTGAAGAGTGAAGCCAGACATTTCAATTCCCAAAATTTGGTTCCAGTGCGCATTCATGTTCCCTGGAAATAAAGGAAGACGTCAGGAGGGCAGGCACCTGGTGGAGGACGCACTTCTTGCCCACTCCTGTCTGCGGGGCTAACCACAGACTTGGAGCTCACAGCTATTCAGGCACAAGGCACCCTTCTTGATACTCCTATAGCTGTCTACTGGCCTGGAAGATGCTGAGCACAGAACAAGGAGCCCGACAGACAGCCAGGCAGCCAGGGAATGGCCAGTGTCTGTCGCTGTGGCACTAGAACTGTGCCACTGTGCTGGCAGTAGAGACCCTGAGGCTGAGCTTTGTGCATTCCAATTCAGAGGATCTCGGGCAGATTGCACCTCTATTCCCCCTTGCTGGATCTGCCTCAATTTGAGGACAGCATTTGCAAAAGTCACAGCATATTCCTGGCACAGAGTAAGTGCTGAGTGAATGGAATATGAAAACCTCTTCTGTGGCACCACTGCATAGTTTCTTCCAAGTCCAACATGTCACAACTTAGAAGTCAGTTCAACGTTTACGAAATCTTAAATTTATTCCAGTCATCCTTGTTCTTTCATTTGGCATTTTAAAGAGAAAAGGATTAAATACATTGTGCGGGAGGCCACCAAGGCTTCTGATCCCATTCTTGGCTCAAAGTCTCCTTGGGCTGTGGTCTAAACGGGACAGGAGCAAGCCTCGACATGCCTGCCAAGCCCCTCAGTTTATTGCATTTCTTCCTATTCTGTGACATGTTTCCTTCCTTTAAATTAAGAGAATGAAAAATCTTTAAAAATAAGCGACTGGTTTCATGTCTGTGAGAAGACTGGGCACAGAGCCACCACCCACCCCAAAGGGCCGCTACCTCCTTTGGTCTTGGCAGTGAATGAAAAAAGTGACAAGTTCTGGCCCACAGCCTCCCTCTTCCACTTCCTGGAAACATCGTAGAATACAGCACTAGCTAAGCAGATTCAGTTCTCTACTATGTCATTCATTCATCATGATGCTGCCTCTCGCCTGACTCCACCCTCTTAGACTTCAATAAAAGGCAGAGAGAGACACCAGAAGAGCAGAGAAGCTGGGATCAGCTCAGAAACCTCCGCCTCTCACACTGAAGCTGGTGCTCCTGCCCTCCACCATGCAGGTCTCCTCAGTCCTTCTGTGCCTGCTGCTCACAGTGGCCACCTTCAGCACCCTCCTGCTGGCCCAGCCAGGTAAGGCCCTGCCTCCCTCCCTGGACAGCGCATCACTCATCTCTGGGTCACCAGGGGCCAGCGCAGCACAAGGGGGCCCTCATCTCACCTTAGTGGCTGCTCTTCCAATGTGAGGAAGCTCATAGCAGGACAAGGACAGAGCCCAATCACCCTGCTGCCAATGGGCAAAGAGTGAGGATTCCAGCTGTGGACTCCAAATCCAGCTGCTTGCAGGGCTCTGGCTCTGAAAACAGCATCAGGAGCTACTGCTCCAGCAGCATTCAGCAGCGCTTGTGTCCTGGGTGACCGGAGAGAGGCAACTAGGATCAGGGAATTTCCAGACACAGGGAGGAGGGAGGAGACGCAGAATCAGGTCTGTGCTTCACTCAGCTCAGCTTCCAGGGCCAATGGCTCAGCACATGCAGCAGGCATCAGGGACACAAAGATAAGGCATGGATTTTTGGAGTTTAAAAGAAAGCCCCATGGCTAGAATTCCTGGTTGATCCTAGCCCCTAGTAATTTGAGCACTTAGCCTCTTCTAAAACATTGCACTGAATTATCTAATTTTGGCAGCTCACCTTTCTCCTATTTACTATGAGCATTGCACCCATTTTATGGAATGGCAAAATGAGGCAATGCCTCAAATATCTTCTAGTTTTGAGGAAGTATTAGGATCTCATGAGTTCTACATCTAGTCATGATATCACTTTATTTTCTTCTCATAATGGCTTCCTCTTCTGAGAACAGAAAGACCTCACCATCCTCCAATACCTTATCACTGTGACTTCTTTTCCAGATGGAGTTAACGCCCCCATCTGCTGCTACAAATTTAACAGGAAGATCCCACTGAAGAGGGTGGGGAGCTATGAAAGAATCACAAGCAGCAGGTGTCCCCAGGAAGCCGTGATGTGAGTTCAGCCCCCAGCCCTTCCCAATCCAGAGTTCTTCCTTGGAGGGCAATGGGCAGTCCCCACACACTTAGAGTCCAAGTTACAACCCCAAACCCAGAGCCCAATGATTCTTAATGGAAAGCCGAAGCCAACAAGGAAAAGTTGACTCCCAACACCATTTTCCATATTAGTGCACACTCAGGCCATCCCATGTCCTCAGCCTGTAGTCAGGATGGTTTCACCTGGAAACCCAGTAGAACAGCTTCCCCACACTGCCTCCTTCACCCTACCCCCAGGGCAGCCCACCAGAGGAGGGTGGGCTGTGCTCCTGAACTGCACCTGCAGAGCTTTAACTCTAACTTCTCGCTCCCACAGCTTCAAGACTGTACTGAACAAGGAGGTCTGTGCAGACCCCAACCAGAGCTGGGTCAAGGAGTACATTGCCAAACTGGACCAGAAATCCCAGCAGAAGCAGAACTCAGCTGCACCAAAAACTTCAGTGCCTTTGAACATTAGCTTCACAACACAGAACCCCAAGAACTTTAGCTAATTTAACTACCACTGTATTTCCTCAGTAACCTCTAGTGCCAGTATGAACTTTATTGATATGAAATATGATGTCTTAAAGAGTATTAACCTTATTTAATTTATTGATGTTTTAATTTTATCCTCCATGAGTTGGTAACTGTTTTTTTTCCTGAGAAGCCCAGTTCTACACTGAAGATGTCATAAAGGTCTTTGTAAAGATCTTGAATGCAAAAATTGCATTGTTTTAAAAATCAAAACATTTCTAAAAAATATTATTGTAAAAATAAATATTATATAAATTTTAAATAAAAATGTATATTTTTGTACAAAAGCTGTCTTTTGTTCTTTGTTTAAAAAAACATATAGCTGAGATTATGAATGATAAAGGAAAAAATATAACTCTCAACCTATAAGATATCAGATGTGCTGAGTTCGTACCCCCAGAAATCAAAGAATGTTATAACAGACAATGCAGTTTAAAAGTAAGAACATTTTATTGAGAAATAGCTCCTGAGACACAGGGGGATCCTCAAAATGGATTGCCACTGGGGCTCTTTGTCAGGGGGAACTTACACAGCAAAGTCAACATGTGGGTACAGTGTGGGTCAAACTAAAATCAACATATAGGATTATAAGTACAGCCTTTTAGCTTATATTGACCCAACCAGGCATGCATCATAAGGCAAGGGTACAAGGAAGATACTAAGGTATGTTTGGCAAGCCATGGCCCTGATGCTCTTTAGTCACCCAACTGGTTTGACTGATGCCTATCTGGACCTTATGCACTATGAGTAGTTAATTACAATACAGTTTCCAGTTATTGTCTATTCTTTAGGAAGGCAGGAAAGCCTGTCCATTGTGTATCTTGAGGCCAGGCCTTCTTCAGACGTGCCTCCAGCCACAGTTCTGATGTGTTTATTCTTCTCTGATTTCCTTGAGAGCCAAGTCCCTCCCTGACTGTATATCATTTTCTAATTTAGCTGCCTATAGTACTCCCCCCTCTGAAGAGCTGTCCTTCACTGTACTTAGAGGAAAATGGGCTTAGTTTCAGTCTACCTGCTGCAAGCTGAGAAGGGTCAGCATAGAGGCCTTCTCCACAGGGCACTAATATAACAAGCTATGGATAAAGTCATACTTCAGTTTAGTAGGTATGAATTCTCTTTCCAACTTCAAGCTAATAAATTCCAGTAAAAGGAGTCTGGCACATTTGTCACTGGTTCCATCTGCATGGTCACTAGAGTCTGGCAACCTCTAGACAAGAATAAACCACTTTTTCCAAGAGATTAAAACACCCAGAACCAAACCATACATATTGGAATGGAAGGGCAGACTGAAGCAAGCAGCCACATCCCTTACTACTCCTAAGGAACTGGAATAACAGTCGTAGACAGCTGGTTCCTCGGCCTATCTATGGATGGAATTTCTAAGTCCAATACTTCTTCTAAGATGTTTTTGTTCTGATCTGAATAATTTATCTGAAGAGAACAGATTGTATTAGCACACCAATCCTTACATTTTTAGGTATAAGAAGATGGAGAATTCAATAGTTTTGAAGGACAATTTCATTTATGAAATTGAAGGACCCCAGCTGAGCTTTTATAGCTTCAACTGCAACTATTTAGGCTCATTAAACCATAACAGTGGTGGCTACAGGTATAGCTGGAATCTGGTTGGCGGGCTCAGTGACTAGAACACTGTTTTTATTACTATAGTGTTATTGTTTATACATCTTTGCCTGTAGTTGTCTGTTGAGTGTTTAAGATAAGGAAAATTAAGACCTGTGTCAATCAAGTTAACCTTTTCCTCTCTATTAGGTCAGTTAGGGCTCTTTGGGGGTTACTTTTGGAACCAGGTTCAAGGCCTCTCAGCTCTTCTGTCTGTGTCAGCCTCCAGGCTGGGTCGTGGTCTTGCTTTACCATGTGGCTTCCCATGTAACCATGGAAGATATTTATCTTTTTTTGTGTCCCGCCTTTGTAGTACACTGGGCCCTCCAACGACCAACAATTTCCCTGCGCAGGAAGATGATTGATTCCTCAAGTTGCAGAATCCTGTAGAAAAGGTCTTTTCATGTTCTGAGTCCTTACTGATCTTGGAAGGCCGGGGCCAGAAAATACTGGCTGTCTTCTTATCTAGTGCTGGTATCCAAACTCAGCTGTTGAACATCCAGTTACACCTTAATTTTATGATCTTATCTAGAGAGAAAACACCTTGAAATATGTACTATGAGCAGTGACCCTTTATTTCTTTACTAATCATGATTGTCTTAGATGTTGAATCCCTGTATAATATTAACAGAAAACAATTACAATGTTTTATAGAAAACTCTTGAGATCAAGGGAAGCATATAATTTTAACATAATGAGCATGATGACATCGTTATTATATTAGAACTAATTAGGCTTACTTATTATCTCTGCAACACACTTAATTGTTCATTTTAGAATAACTTTTTAGTCAGTTACCTTTATCTAAATACAAGATGCTAAATGACCAAATGACTAAACTTTTACCTAAATTTGTCTATAAATGTACCTTATAGACTATTAATGTCTAATTAAAGTGACTTTTCCCATAGTGAAGAATGTTTAAGTATCTCTAAGTCTTATAACAAATACATAATTATATGTAGCAATAACACAAGCATAAGCTTTGAAAAAATATTTGTTTTTATTTTATTTTAAAAAGTAAGAAAATAGCAGAAACAAAGACAAAAATAGTAACAAGCGACAGTGCACATGATACAGTTTCAAAACAAGAACAAACTTTAACAATGGTTGTTATAGTGCATCATCAAATCTGTTGTTCAGATTAACAGATATAGGATTGCAAAATCGGTTAAATAATTAAATATTAGTGCTTACTTTCAATAAAGTTTAGTTTTTTAACTTTTCCCTTTTTACTTTATTTTTAAACTTATTTTACAGAAAGAATACTAATTGATAAGACATAGAAATATTATGGAATAGAAGTAGTACACATTCAGAAGACCAAGATGAAAGGTGTTCAACCATGGTTTTTATACTGCACTTCGTTGTCTTCAATGTAGTTGCTTAAACTATAGATAATAGCATATAGAGTTGGTCAGTGTGAAAAATTTTAAACATTAATTGCTACTTTCAAAGAAATGATGGAAATGAGTGCTATAATCATCTCAGCTATGCTGAATATATACTTGCATGATTTTCCCCCCTTACATTTTTTTCTATCTCTTTTCCCTTTCCTTCATCTTTATTATTTATTCCTTGTGTTCAAATCAACTAAGAACAAATGCCGGAGAGGCTGTGGGAAAAAAAAGGAACCTTTCTCCACTGTTGGTGGGATTGTAGACTGGTACAAACACTACAGAAGTCAGTATGGAGATTCCTCAAAAAACTAGGATTTGAAGTCCCATTCAAACCAGGTATTTCCCTTCTGGGTATTTCTCCAAAAGAACTGAAACCATCATACCACAGTGATGTATTAGCAACCATTTTATAGCAGCACAATTTGTCATAGCCAAATCTTGGAAACAACCCAAATGCCCATCACCTAAGGAATGGATAAAAAATATGTGGTATTTTTATACAATGGAGTATTACTCATCTGTGAAGAAAGACAAATTTGAGGGCTTTATATGTAAATGGGTGCAACTAAAGGCTACACTCATAAGTGAAATAAATCCATCCAACAAACATGTGTAAATATCATATTGTCTCCCTAGTGTGAAAACCTGAAAAAATAAAAAAATCTGAAAGGAATAATTGATATAGAAAAATGGAAAGAAACTGAACGCAAGAAATAAGCATGAGCCTTTAAAAATATCTATATTATCTCCTTGACTATTTGATATTGGATGGCACATGCATTTCATCACAAATATTCAGAGGGAAAGCCAGATGCTTGAGCCTAAAAAGGTTTATCATCATAAACAACTTTAGCCAAAAGTCACCAGTGTAGTAAGAATGTTTTTTTCTTTAAAGATGTGCATCTTGGAAACACAAATATACATTTTAATATGCCATGAGGTTAGCAATAATTGATATCACAGCTACATAGAAAACTTTACATCTTTAGTTTCTACTCTTAAGACAAATTTTAGACTCCTTTAATAGATTCCATATGGTGTAACTATGTTGACAGGAATTAAGGACATTTTTACAACTCTGACAAGTTTAAAAAGCAGTGTTAATGGCCACAAAAAGACTTATTACTCAATACGCAAGTGTTTGTCACTTATGCTATAATAAGAAATGCTTCTTTAATCAAAAACAACAGATGTAGATAAAGTTTAAATATATGTACCAAATTTAAAGAGACATCAAAGTTTGGCCATTTATTGCTTAATGTCCAAATATACATGGTATAAAAGAGAATATCTATTAGTTACATTAAGTTGATAGTTGTAACTATGTAGCCTTTTTAATTTTATAGTTTAGATGCACAGTCATAGCTTGTTTTTAGATATATACATACATATATGCCCAAATATATGGTGTCATGATTTAAAATATTAGTTTTTATTTAACCAATCATGAAATGATTATTGAAAACATTAAGGTTAACACTCAAATATTCTTTATCCATTTAATAATTCAAAGAATCAGCAACTGGGATCTCATCTTATTTAAAAGTTTTCACACAACAAAAGAAATCTCCAACAGAATGAAAACACAATCACAAATTGGGAACAAAATTTAGCCAACTGTCCCTCAGACAAAGGACTTCTTTCTAGAACATAAAAAGAGCTAGAAAAATTCAAATTCCCAGAATTCAAAGACCCAATCTTAAAATGGATATCTGAGATGACTATGTGCTTCTCAGATGAAGAAATACAAATGGCAAATAAATATATGAAGAAAATGCTCAACATCATTGGTCATTTGAGAGAAGTAAATTAAAACAATGCTGAGATTCTATCTCACTCCAGAAAGAATGGCTATCATCAAGAAATCAACTTGTATTAAATATTGGAAGGGCTCTGGGGATAAAGGAACCCTTCTCCACTGTTGGTGAGAGTGGAGACTGATGCAGCTACCATGGAAATCATTATAGAGATTCCTTAAAATGCTAGGACAAGAGGTCCCATTAGACCTGACTCTCCACCTTCTGGGCGTATTTCAATAAGAACTAAGAAGATCATGCTACAGTGGTATTTGCACCAATGTTTATAGAAGCACAATTTTTAATAGCTAAATCCTGGAAACAGCCATAATAACTATAATCTTGAGACTTTTAAAGATACATGGATGCAACTTGAGACCATATCCATATTCATCAGTGAA